GGGAACGGCCACACTTCGTCTCACCTAACTCGGTCGTACTGTCAGAAGGCACCGTTCCCTGAGGAAGGATGTCGTGCTTGGAAAAGTAGAGGGTCAGCAAAAAAGGGGAAGGCCCCCAACAAGATGGGTTGACATAGCGGCTGCCCCACCGGCTGAAGCACAGCAGGGCTTGTGAGGTGGCATAGGACCGGCACTGCTTCACTCTGTTGTCACTGTGAGTCAGGGCTGACTGGATGGCACCTAACAACACAACAACGTGTCTGGGCCACGAAAGCCAAACCCAAAGACATCTCGTCCCACTGCTTGGCCCTCTTCATTTTGGTAACACGACAGACTACTCCCTAACACCTCATCCAATCTCTATTCTTAGCGTGGAGGTGATATTTTCACTAACACTGTGCTAGCTCACAGACAAGTGAAGGGACTTCTCTAATTTTCCATCTCATCTTCAAGATAAAGTTCCAGTAAACACTTGTTTTGCTTTTTACCCCGGGGCTGGCTCTGAGGGGTCCGGAGCCCTGCCTTTTCCACCTCCCACCATCCCTCACCACTTCCTGACAGTCCTCTATCTCTGCTTAAATGCCTCTGGTGACAGGGAGCTCACTACTGCACAAAGTCGGCTCTGTTTCTGCCACCCCTGACTCTTGGCGTTCTTCCTCCTTGGCTCTGCCTCTCCCCAACCCCCTCGACCACACGGACGAGGTGCCCTCAGTGCCTTGGAGCTAAAGAGCCCCAGAAGTGCACCTTGGCGTTGACCGTCCAAGTCTGGCAGTGACTCAGTCAACTCTGCCTTCATCTGTCCAAGGGGCTCGCCCCTCCTTTTCTTTTCCTCTTGGTGAACATTTAATGACTACATGCTATGCTCTGTAGGAAGGCATTGGCCACAGGTAAAGCAGTGTATGCTACTTTCCACATCGGCCCGGCTTAGAGATGTGGGGCCACACGGACATTTGGGGTGTGTGGTGAGAGCCACCAGAGAGTGCATGTTTACACAAAACCCACACCCACTGCCCTGGAGTCCATTCTGACCCACAGCACCCCTAGAGGACAGAGTGGAACTGCCCACAGGGTCTCCAAGGCTGTCAATCTTCATGGAAGCAAAGCCCAAACCACACCCACTGCCGTGGGGTCCATTTCGACCCACAGCGCCCCTAGAGGACAGAATGGAACTGCTCCACAGGGTTTCCAAGGGTGTTAGTCTTTACAAAGACTGCCTCATCTCTTTCTCCTACAAGTAGCTGGTGGGTTTGAACCACTGACCTTTTGGTTAGCAGCTGAATGCTTTTACTACTGCACCACCAGAGCTCCTCAATCAATGCATGTCTAGCCAAAAAACCAACCAACCAACACACTGCCATAGTGTCGATTCTGACTCATCGCAACCCCCATGGGTTTCCAAGGCTGTAAATCTTTACAGAAGTAGAATGCCTCATCTTCCTCCCATGGAGCAGTTGGTGGGTTTGAACCGCTGACCTTCTGGTCAGTAGTCAAGTGCCTTACCCACTGAGCCACCTGAGCTCCTAGGGCACGTCTAGGACCTCCTAGAGCAGCAGATGGCTGGTGCTCAGATGCCCGAGAGACTAGACATTTCCCAGTGAGTGTTCTCCTGCTCCCACACATCTCAGGCGCTCAGAGGCCACGCGGGAGGAAACAGCCTCCATCAGGTGGAGCTAAGTGGCCCTGGTGGGGGGACTGCACTGACCTCCTTTGTTTGCTCTGGTTCTGGAGAACTGGGGCCGCCTCCCTGAGCCACCTGGGTCCCGCTGGGCCACTCACCGATGTCTTTGGCTCTGACGGCCACCGGCCTCCGGAGCTCAGTGACAAACTTCTTGGCGTCCAGGCGGATCTCGATGATGTTGTTCAGCAGCGCGAACAGGGGGGCCAGAGGGAAGGACGCGACAAACAAGGTGACAAACCCAAACTGGATGACTGCAAGAGAGAGGGCCGCTGGGTCAGCCCCAAGGCGGGAGGACAGCCAACCTGACAGGCTCATCTCAGACATGTCCGCCGGCACAGACACGTGTGCAGGTGCATTGAAGGGGGCGGGTGGAGGCACCCTGGCCCCTGGGGACTCAGGCCAGGCGGGGGAGTCGCAGGCTGTGCTCTGACCCGTGACTTGTCCTCACTGCTGTCCTGGTGGTCAGTGGCTGCCCCTTCCGCCTGCTGGCGACCTGACGTGTGCAGAGCACACTGCTCCGTGGGGCCTACGGAAGGTCTGTCTTCCAGGGTGTGTCTGGGTGGGTTTGAACCTTCTACCTTTTGGCCAGTAGTGGAGCGCTTAACTCCCTGACTCTCGTGTAATGGGAATGCATTAATCTGTCACAAGTCTAGTTAAAAACGATCATGATGGGGAAAAAGGCCCCCACAAGGCTGAAGGCACAGCCCACGGCCCTTCCTGTGCCCAGGTCTGGGAAGAAAGCGGTTTGGGGGTGTCATAAACGGAGACCTGGGGGACTGCCAGCATTACTGCTGCGTCAAAAGCCCTGCAGTCTGCCCCCCGCTGGGCTTAGGAGCTGGTGGACACCCACGCCCAGGAGTCCTGCCACTCCCTGCCCCCTCCTGCCTCACTGTCCTTGGTGAGTGAGCTGGCCTGGGGCTTCCCTGGCCTTGGGACTGGGAGCCGGACAGCCCAGCTCAGAGGAGGGTCAGGGAAGTTTTCGATGGCAGTGAGCTGGTTTGGGAACTTTGGAGCAGGACTCTGGCCAGAGGTGCGTGGTGCCAAGTGGTAAACAAGGAAGCCAGGTGAGAGGGTTGGCCTGTGCCCGCAGTGGAGCTGGTGGTGTCACTGGGGTGGGTTCCACAGGTGTTTCTGTGGATGCTGGTTCATCTGACTGCATCCACAGGGTGGTGGGGCACGCTGCGAAATGAGGGGCTTTGCAGTTAGGTCTGGGGCTGCTGAGACCGTGGGGGCCGCCACAGAGTGTCTGCTGGGATCTCCCTTCCCACAGGGCGCTGCCTCCTCTGCCACCAAGAAGGGGTGGATGAAGGGAATCAGAGATGCTGGCGGGGCCGTGCCAGAACATTGCAAGCTGGGCCTTCCTGTCTATTTAGCCTTCTGTGGGTGCCGCAGGAGTCCCTGGGTGGCGTGGTTGGTCAACACACTGACTGCTGACAGGTTGGAGGTTCAACCCCACCGAGAGCTCCCTCAGAAGAAAGGTGGTGATCTGAGGAACCAGCCACTGCAGGTGCTATGGTGGCCAGCTGTGCTCTGACACACACAGGGGCACCATGAGTTGGAGTGGACTCGGGCAGCCGGCAAAGTGGGAGGGGGTCCCTGGGTGCTGGGACTGCCTTATGCGCCCCGCTGCCAACTGAAAGGCTGGAAATGCGAGTCCACCCAGAGGTGGCTTGCAAGAAAGGCCTGGCAACCTCCTTCTGAAAAGTCAGCCACCGAAAGCCCTGTGGGCACAGCTCTGCTCTGACCCCCGTGGGGGCCGTGAGTCAGTCGCTCCTGGCAGCTGGGCTTTGTTTGGGTGCTGCTGGGTGCCCTGCTGTGTGTCCCTCGAGGGGAAGCTGTGCAGCCAGTGCGATGGGGGGAGGGCCAGGGAGACATGGAGCTGTGCTCGGTGGTGATGGGGTAGGGGGCAGGCGCCCAGGGTGGGAGGAAGAACCTGTCTGGGATTTCGTTTCACCAAGCCTGGGAGGCGTGCCAGACTTCAACCACCACGAACATACAAACCCAGGAACTGGCTGTCTATCTCCTGGCCGCTCCCAATCACCCCTGGGCAGTGAGAACAGGTCACAGCCCGGACTGCTCCCCGAAAGGCTGGGGGCTTGAGTCCACCTACAGGGGCTGTCGCCAAAAGGCCTGGTGATCTACTTCCGTGAACTCTCCTGAGGGTCTCCCACAAAGGGCTTGCTCACATCACCCCGGGGGGGAAGCCCCATCTCAGTCCCCTCCTGCAGATCCTGCGTGGAGGACGGACCTTGGGGGTGTTGGGGAGTGGCCCTGCTGGCTCAGCTCAGATTGGATCCTGGGGAAAAGGGCGTCGAGTTGTCTGAACTCAGCACGTCCCCCACTTGCAGTCTTGGGAGTCTTTCCTCCCGAGTCGGAAGGCATCCATGCACAACCATCTGGGAGTGAGCTCTGTGGGTCGACTTGCCCAACACGAGGGGGGCACAGAGGAGCTGGCAAGCCAATCAGCCAGAAATGCTCGCGGGCACCCAGGGTCACCCTGTTCCTCGCCACCCTCCAGAGAGCTGAGAGAGCTGCAGGGCAGGTCTTGGCCATGTTCCCGTCTAGGCCTGTCAACCCTGGCTCTCCCTGGTGTTTGTCAAAAAGCAGGGTCCCAGGCCTCCGCTCCATAGACCAGGGGTGGGCCTGGGAACCAGCATTCTAAGTAAGCTGCCCAGGGTGGTCTCCTGATTGCCTTTGTACATCCAGTCATTCAACAAACACTTACTGAGTGCCTTCTGTATACGTGGCCCTGCTCTAGGAGTGGGGGATGTGGCCGGGAACAGCAGGAAGGAAATAGCCCTGCTCCCTCCCGGCTTCCATTCCACTGCTGACAGACAGACACAGAGAAGCAAGGAGGGCAGCAGGCGTCATAGTGACAAAGCTGGGGAGGGACTGAGTCAGGGCCTCACGGGGCAGGGGCTGCCCGACAGACATGGTGGCCAGCGAAGACCCTCTCCAGAGCCCCGGGGAAGGGAGAGAGGCGGCACGAGGATATGTGGGGGGACAGCACCCCAGGCGGGGGACAGCTAGTGCACACAGGCCTGGCGGCAGGCATTGCTCTGGGCATGTGGGGACAGCAGGGAGGCCAGCGTGGCGGCACAGAAGGAGGCGGGAGATGGGGTCAGGAAAGCGCCAGGTGGCTTTTCCCCACCTCTCCCGCACCCCAGCCCCTGTGGCAGTGAGGCCCCTCCCTCCACATCTGCCTGTCAAGCCTCACAGTTTCGGGGGACAAGGCTTGCTTCCTGCATCTCCACTACGTGTCTGCTCTTGCCGGCAAGCCCCCAGGTGAGAGCGGGCGCCTGCCCTGCGCGGGTGCTCTGCCCACGAGGAGGGGTTCCTGAGGGGTGTGTGCACCTCCTTTGGAGGAGGCACCCAGATTACTGGGGAACCCCAAGGAGAGCAGGGGATGCAGCTTGTGGGGCCTCCGGCTGGTCAGGGAGTAAGGGAGAGGGAAGCAGCCAGGGGTGTGCCAGGCTGGTCTGGCGGGGTCCCCCAGAGGTGCCGGCTGCCTGCAGCTGCTGCTGTCAGTGTTAGCTAACGTCCAGTCAGTGCCGCCCCTGGCGACAGCCTGTGCTCCACAGCAGGCCTGTGTGCCACGCGTTTTCTCGGCCGTAATCTTAATGGAAGTGGGTTGGTTGCCAGGCCTTTCTGCAGCAGTACTGCAGGGTGGATTTGAAGCACCCACCTTCAGGGAAGTAGCAGAGTGCCACCAGAGACCTCAGGGCCGTCTGCAGATGAGGACGCCCCCCGAGGAGGGAACAGCCAAGGAGGCAGCCAGGGCCGCCCACCTCTCCTCTCCTCCTCTCTGCCTGGAGCCGCGACGGGACAGCAGGCCCCCGCAGCCCTCGCCATGGACCCTGCTGGCCACTCACTCATCTCCATGTACTCCGGGGTGAGGCCGGCGAACGGCTCCAGGTTGTAGTCCACCTCATAGCGTTGCTTCTTCTTCACGTGCTCCTCGCGGTCCAAGAGGCTTCGCTGCTTCAGCCTCAGGGAGCGGATGAGCTTCTTCATCTTCCTGGAAGCGGGGGCCCCAGTCAGCAAGACGGGGGGAGGGGGCGGACAGGGCCTGTGCCCGGGGGCAGCTCGAGAGTTTCTGGCTCTCTGGGCTGCACTCAGCCATCACAGTGTGGCCTGTTTTAAACCGTGACTGGACTTGTTCGCATTGATTTCTCTGTTCCCTCTCATGAAGACAGTGGTCAGTGTTAGTGGTTTGTTTGCCACC